GTGGTAAAACTCATCCTTGATTGCATCCGGGCTGCAATCTGTCGGGGCATAGGCGGAGATGACGAAAAGACATGGTTTCTCACGCCGATTTCTTCTCAATTTGATGGAACTGTAATCTAACAGCACATAACCGACTGTTAATGGGGATCCAATCGACTAGTGCTGCCTCAGCTCTAGCGCTTAGTGCGACACCAACACCAGCAAGACCAGACGAAGATGCCACAGGGTCCCCGGATAAGCGCACGTAAAACAAGCTTTTCGAAGCGACAGATGGAGATCGAATTTGTAGTACTTCGCCAGAGTCTTGAATACGGGTCTCGGATAGACAACAAACATCAATATTAAGACTTTCCAAAGACATAGCCAGCCCTATCTGTTGTCCGACCTGCATAAATGTGCGAACGTTGAAGGCAGCCAGTTTGAATGATGCACGTGGTTTCAGAAAAACTGCTCCAGTCCTCGTATTCGGTGGTAACATACAATTTTCAACCGGACAGTGACTCGAGAACGTTTAGATACAGTTGAATTTCCACCAAAGACGAGCCGCTGTATAAGTGTAAAAGAGGGTGAATAATGTGGAAAATAATAATAATAACAATAATGACAATAATAGTAGTAATAATAATAATAGTATTAATAATGACAATAATTGTATTGATAATAATTTGAATCAATTGTTTGTTTTTCAAAGCGAGAAAGGTAATTTCCATAGGCATAAAGAGTTCATCAATTTGTGTGTGGGCTGTGATACTGCCCGGGTGCCCAAACCGAAGCAGGTGGTTATCTTAGGGGGCCACTCCCCGAGCCTTTGACCTAAAGGTCTAACCCACAAGGCAGTGGAGCATCGTAAGGAGATGCAGTCCCATGGTAGCCGGTGACCAACGATTGGTTCATACGCCATTTGTTCCCGCAGGATACTGGAGCCCATGTGCACCATTGATTTGGAATCCGGTCAAAGCGCCGGACATTCGCTTTTCGTCCTCTCATTTTCGTAAACAACACCCCCGCCACGAGAAGGCAATGAGTAGGACTTCCCTGGCAGAGGCTGTATACGCATGGCCGTGTGAGAGTATTTCGAGAGGGAGAGCGGACTCTCCCCACTCTCGGCCGTACCAGGGCATTCAGGGGGCTTCACAGTTATATAATATACCCTTGTGGGCCATGGTAATTTTACATTGGTTTTCAGGAGAACCAGACACCATCCCCTATATCTGACTCCAATTGCTAGTATCTCGTTAACAAGCTAAATCTCCTAATAGAATTATGGATTTACTCGAGATTTATTCAAAATTTAAAACAATTAGTCCCGTTTGATAAATTTCGATTATGCAATGAGAAGACAAAGTTTATCAGAATTATGTGATGATAGATTTGTTCAATACATTTCGAACAATCTGATCACACATTACATACTTGTTAAAAAATTATAAGGTCAACTAAACAGGTTAAAGGTAAGCCGTGACAAAGACAAAATGATAATAAAGTACATAAAAACAATGTGATAACCATTCTCGGTGATAAATCCGTGCTACCTGAATAGGTTAAGGGTAAGGACAAATTGTTTTTGAACACATAAAGGAGGTTTCAATTTCCGTATAGTAAAGGCTTCAATAAACCTTAGTATGCGTCCTTGAAAGCTTTTGTATAACACTACAAATGCTGATTTGATATCAACCTTATGACCCATCTCAATCAAATGTTTCACAATGGAGGATGATGTCTGTCTATCCTGTGATCTTATTTAACCATTGATATCCATTTGTTTCTGCAACCATTTTGGTATATGTTCACCCACCCATAATTGCAAATCACGATTGCTCTTCCCTATGTATGTGTTCCCATACATACACGTAAATTGATAGACGCAATGGGATGTGACATAATCGCTTTCGTGCTGTTTGGTGAAACATAGACCTTATCTTTTCGATAATGACAAATTGGGCAGCATAAAATGTCCGGTTGATAGCTAATTTATATCTCTGTTTCAACTTGAGACTATTTGTGTCGCCTCTGAATGGTAACGTAATATAAACTCGGTTTTTGGGTGCCAGAAGCGTCATAGGTCTAATCGTATTGCAACCCTTCCAGCGGTTTAAGAACTTCAAAGAATAACCATTATTCATTAACGTATCAGTCAAGAGCTTCATCTCTACTTCATTAGTATCACTAGTACAAATACGATGGATTCTATTGAATAAGCTCTTTATTAAACCGCGTTTGTAATGAATAGGGCAGTGTTAGGATAGTCGGAAAATTAAGATATTGCCCTGTCCATGTTGGCTTTCTGTATATAGCACGTTGGATGGAACCATCATCTCCCCTATTAATCAGGATGCCTTCTCATAGTTTATTGTTAAAGATTGGTAAAATCCCTAAGCGTACACGAAGAAAGAACACAGTGAAACCAAGAGTGTGTGTGTGAGAAATCCATACATATTTATGGATGTTAATCAAGTATGGATAAGTTATTGATTGTCTGTGTATTACAAACAATCGGAGAATAGATTAAAAATTGACATGTGCTCAATCAGACTCGCACATAGAATTACATGGTGGATCAAATGTCTAAATTACAGTGAGCAGATAAATAATACAATAGCGGAATGGGCTTACTACAGGTTCCAGGATTCTGAGGGAACAAATAGAGTATGAATCTATTATTGGTGACTGGCTACCACGGGACTGCATCTCCTAACGTTGCTCCATTGTCTTGTGGATTAGATCCTTAGGTCAGAGGCTCTGGGTGTGGCCCCCTAAGAAAAATACCTGCTTCGGTTTGGTCACCCGGACAATATCGCAGCTTTCATACAAATCGAACGATTTATGTGGTGCATATGTATTTGGTGTCCCTTTGTGCCAGTATTTATGCGTTTAAATAAATAAAGATTGCAACATTTGATTTCTTGTCCAATTCTCATAGTTTAACTGCGTAAATAATAAGATTTACTTAGGTCTTACAATTTCCTTATAATGAACATTGGTTGTCGATTTTGCAACACTCCTGAATAGTTAGCTTAAAATATATTCAGTCAACGGATGTTTCAAACATTGCTAGTCGACGACTTTTTCAACTAGTAAGCGCTTATGAATATTCTCGAATGAAACTATGCTACCGAGTAACTTTGTATGAGCATGAAGTTGTCTATGCACTTAGTTTATCAAGGCTGAGTTATACAATATTGATGACTAATGAACACTATGTGATAGTGACACTGAAGTTTTGCTGTACAATCAAATATTCTAGCATTTAAATCCAATATAGTTAATATGTTATTAGGACTCAGCTTACTAAAATCCGGATTTTATGGTTTCAATGACTGTTGTGATCGATTAACGGTGAAAAACTCGATTTTTGAACACTGGTTACAGATTTCAACTCCATTCCATACATACATACATACATCATCAAAGGCGATTGTTACATTTGTCATGTATTCTTAACCAATGCCTATCAATAACACCCTATTCCGGCTCACATAGGAATATATTAGAAAATAGCTAAGGACGAAGAGATTAAGACATGTCGATTAGTACAGACTTTTTGGTTCGAATCAATGAAATACTTAGTTCATTCTTGTAGATATTGGGTGACATGATGTAAAATCGATTGCAATAGCATCTTTCTTTCGAACTGTACCCCTTTCATGTTTAAATTTTCAATGAAGTCTTCTCAAGTGATTCTTGTTTTATTAATTTCTTTTCCGCTACACTGATATGAGTTATGAGAATCACGACAGATATAATGGCATGTGTACATCTACCAATGTGATAAAAATCAACGACAGTGAGACTATAATGTATGGACGAGCCAACTAGAAGCGTTTGAGGGGTTCCAGGGTCATAGCGCCAATTTCAGTACCTGATGCTATCGTACGATCGGTTCACAACGGATTTTATGGAAAACGTAATAAATTGGGCGCCTATAACAAATAAAACGGCGAGACTATAATTTATGGACAAACCAATCACGTATAAGATAACAGATCTCGGATGTTGGCGCGAAAGTCAATCATCCATTTGACCAAATAGAGTTTTGGCATTATAGCTGATATCACTTTGTGATGAAAACCATAATGACAATTATTGCGAACTGGACAATAAAAGCACCAGTGATACTGGCTACAGCCGAGTACTACAATATATACGGATGATTGGAGAGTGTATATATGCCAAAATAAACTTGATTATGTGCATTATTTCTCTATTCACAAGCGGCATTTTGTGGACTCAACAACCGAAGTGCACACAAATAATATTGAAGCTATATGGTCGAGGCTGAAAGAGATTTTGCGATCTTATCACGGCTCCAGAGGCCGACCATTTTGTAGCCGTATGGATGATTTCCTGTACTGCATGTATTACGATTTTAGAACCTCTTTCTAACTTTGACAAGTTTTTGAACCATGTATAAGCAGTGTATCCACTTTATTTCTTTGGTTTTGTATAATATACTTTAACTCTATACTGACTGTTCGTTGAATGGCTAATATTTCTTAAAGTCATTTAAGATTTCTTTAGACTAATGTCATATCTTGGGCTTTTCCCACCTTTTTTCTTCTAACAAAGCTCTACTTTTATTTATTTAAACACATAAACATTGGTACAAGGAGGCACCAAATAGATATGCGAGGGCTGTGATACTGTCCGGGTGCGCAGAACGAAGAAAGTGGTTTCCTCAGGGGGACACATACCTTGAGACTCCAACCTAAAGTTCTGATCCATAAGGTATTGGAGCAACGTAAGGAGATGCAATCACATGGTAGATGGTGACCAACGATCGATCCATATGCTATTTGTTCCCTAAGGATACTGGAACTCATGTGCACCATTGGTTTAAAATCATAGTTTTCCAACTCCCCTAGGTGGACTCTCCATGTCAACCAACCGAGTTAAAGCGCCGTACATTCTCTTTTTGTCCTCTCAATTTCTTAAACAACACCCCCGCCACGAGAACGCGATGAGTAGGACTTCCCTGGCAGAGGCTATATACGCATGGCCATGTGAGAGCATTTCGAAAGGGAGAGTGGACTGTCCCCATTTTCGGCCGTACCAAGGCATTTGGGGGCAACAAAGTTCTACTCCAATCAACATGATACATTAAAAGGTAAACGATAGTTTAGTAATTGAATTATCATTACTACAAATCCTTATTGCTTAATTTAAATGAGTCAATGAATCTTTTTCTCAGAAACAAACAAACAAAACAAAACACCATGAAATGATTTTCTCACTTTTACATGAATTGAATCCAAAAATTTGGTACAATGAAGGGAAAAAGGGAAAACCGAGAAGAAAAAAAAACAAGATAAACTGTAAAATAAACAACTAATCGAGAGGAGGGAGAAGGAGGGGAGGGCGCACAAATGTCACAATAAATGACAACATAATATATACCATGTATATTATTCGAAAATAATTAAAATGAAAACAAAAGTAAGAAAAAGGGGGGAGGGATATAAAAAGAATTTTTATTTTCAAAAAAAAAGAACCACAAATAAATAAAAGAGAATAAAGTCAACATGTAATGAAGGTAATTGATTGTTCACATGCATGCACACACACCCACACATGATTACACATAGAGACTGTACACACACACGCAAGGTGGGGTGGGGGAAGATTGTGCAATGTATAAGTTAAAGAAAAGAAAAAAATTGATTGACACAAACAAGAAAAGAGATAACCTTGAATTGAATATAAACAATAAATGAACAAAAGACAATAAAAGAAATTGTAAATAAGAGAACATATAGAATAGTTTTTTTTTTATAGAGTTGCAAAATAATTACATCCTATGATAATTATTTCATTTGTTGACCAGTATATGTATATATATATATGACCCATAAATGAAATGGACAGTTTACAAGATGAAAGAGAAAAGCACTAATCAAACAAGTACATTATTATTGTTATTATCAGATAGTAAACATAATATACATCATTTCATGTATACATGAACTACTACGACTATTACTAGCCCACAACAATCAGAATAAACATAGAATGTAATGTTTATATATTGTCAGTTGTTATTACCATTTCTTTTTATAATCATCTACACTAACACCACCTGGTCCATAGGCAACAACTAAACCTAAACCACCAATAACTGACCATGTTTGAAAGAAATCATATTTTAAAAAATCCCACATTAAACTATCATTACTAACAGCCCAAAATCGATTATAATAAAAATTCATACCAGTTAACCAAATAACTAATACAGTTGCACAAAGTTTTGTTTTATAACCAATTGCCACCAATAGAATTAAGATTAAATTACTAATGGACTACAAATAGAATAGGAAGAAGAAAAAAAGATAATTAAATTATAAACATTTTACAAACTTCAACATATAGGAAATAATTTTAATAGATGAGATCATGAGTCAACTGAAGCTAGATCATCATGGAAAACCTTGTGGGACTACTCCACAGCGGTGCGTATCCACGATCTCGCCTCGTGAGATTCAAACACAGGACATATCGTTCTCCCCGACTGTTGCTGCTACTTTGATGTGGTGGTCCGGCTCGCCTATCGCGATGAAGCAGCCGATCTATACTGGCTGGAACAATCGTCCTTCAAGGTCCTACCATGTCAGACAGGTCGGTTGAAGAACGGTAAGACTAAAAGCAACAAATCCAAGGTCCGAAGGCGAAGTCGTACTGCTGACTGTACAGAGGTGTGGCGGCAGTAAGGTGTTTCCTTTAGACAACCAGCATGACAGCGATGCTGCCTTCCCACAAGAAGGAGTGGGGTTATAAAAGGTCGACCTCAGAAATGCACAACTCGCCTTATCCCACGGATATCCATCTCCGGCGGTAAGATCTCAACAAGTACAGAGCTAACACAAAAATTACCCATAAAAAGGTCGTGTGTGATTGACCTCAAGCAGTTGTCCCTTGGGCACTGCGGTCACGCTCTCAGGTCACTAAGACCACCTCTAACCCAATTTTCTTTTCAGGTACCTCCAGAAGAACCGGGAAGTGATAACCGCCGCCCTCATACATTCAACAGCACTCAAGACCACTGTATTCATATCGGTCTCGTGCGTGAACGCCTAACCTTTAAACCACTAAGTCGGCATCCAACGGTGTTAATGTCTAACTTCAACTAATTCATGAAATTGTGCCATCACTCACCATTGTCATCAGTGAGTTACTATTTCACAATAGACCCCGTTGAACTCCAGCGGTTACGGCTTTTCACTAGAACTCCATGAAATAACTCTTGGAGGCAGTCACTAGTGAGCATAAGATGACTATAATCAGAGAGAGGGGTTTTGTGGATATTATAGTAATTTTAATAATTGAATTCATGAGTCAATTTAAGCTAAACCACCATAGGATACCTGGAAACACTGGATGGCTGTTTCGTCCTACTGTGGGACTGCTTAGCAGTGCGCATCCACGACACCACCTAGCGATTCGAACTCAAGACCTATCAGGAGTCCCACATTAGGACGAAACGGCCGTCCAGTGCTTCCACGTTTTCCATAGTGGTTTAGCTTTAATTGACTCATGAATTCAATTATTAAAATTACTATAATATCCACAAAACCCCTCTCTCTGATTATAATAGAAAATAATCTTTACCTATATTTCACATGAAATTTACAAGTTGTTTAAGAACGAATCACTACTTATCGCTGTTATTGACTAACATAGGTATGAAGTCTTGTGAAGTACCGGATATGGAATATGACTGTAATAAACGTGACATATTCTTCTACTTCTTCAAAATTTTACATTTCAATCTAGTGTACATAAAGTAATCATTTACGATAGCGTAGCCATATACTTGAAAAAATGATAGTAATCTATTAGTAAGAGTAAGAAAATGTAATTATCGTATACTGTAGAACAGGTAACTGAAACAGTTGATGTGAAGTATTCTAGGTGTAAATTATTTCGCTGTAATTATGTTGTCATTTGCATATGTGCATACTGCGCGTATTGCCTCAATATTGCCTTAATTCACAAGCATTCTAAACAAAGATGGATAGTAGCTAGCAGTTGAATCCAGGACGTGCGTTTTGTCCCATTTGGGACTTGTCAGCTAAATGTACCTGCTAAGTGGATAACGCGATGGTGTTTGAAACGAACGGTACTGAGTTCGAGTCCCAGAGTGAACACCAACTCTGAAATGCAGCTAAATCCATCCGACGAGTCTCGAATAGGATGAAACGCGTATCCTGGATTACACTGCTAACTACTATCTATCTTTGTTTAGAATAATCATCAGCGTTGTATATTTTTTTTGGTTTAGCTGAGTAATCAACTACAAATTCCGTATATGCCGCCTTTTGACTTATACATGTTATGTAAGGTTTTATGATACTAAGCATTTGACCAAATTGAATTAAATGGAACGTAAATTGAATCTATGAATGAAATATTTTAACAGGTAAAATACTAATGGTCAAAATAAACAATACTTACTTGTATAACATAGAATATACTACTACCTAAATGAATTAATGTGACAAACATTAGAATAATAAGTATTCTACCACCAAGTAGAATATATTGTCGATGTGTATTTTCACCAGATGATGGTAGACCAGCTAATAGACTACGTGTTTCTTGTTGTACTTCAGCTAATAATAATAATAAACTACCAATAAGTGATAGATTACGCATAAAGAATACTTTTGTCCAAATATTATAACCAATAGTCTACAATAAATAAATATAGATAAGACAATATTACATGTATAATTGAATAGTGAAAGTTTTTCTCAAAAAAAAACAAATCAGTTGTTTTTTAATTCACTTGTTTTACTTGTATCTTCCCATTGTTATAAAGCTTATGATTTAAGGATATATCGAGGCAATACGCATAGGATGCATGTATACGAACATGAGACTGATCAATTACAGTCCTAAATAACAATAGGAAGATACAAGCAAAACAACACCAAATGAATTTAAATTCATCCCATTGCACAAGCAAGTGGCTATCAGGACTCAGTAGCTAAGAGGATCACGAAATGGCGTTTGAAGCGAACGATACTGGATTCGATTCCCAAAGTGAACATCAACTCTGAGATGCAAGTAAATCCAGCTGACGAGTCCCAAATAGAATGAAACATGCGTCATGGATTTCACTGCTAGCCACTATTCATCTTTGCTTACAAATCAGTTTTGTTAGGAGTCTTACACAATCAGATTGATACCAAAAAGTTTGTGATGTTTGAAAACTATGAAATTGATTAAACTGTTAAAACTGATTATGAATGAAGGAAATAGTAACAATCCATCTAACTGTTATCATACTCTCTTAAAGAATTTCATATATGACACTAATTGATAAGTGGTGCTCAAATACCCTGGTACGGCCGAGAGTAAAAAAGTCAGACCTCCCTCTCTAAATGCGCTCACATGGCCACGCGTATACAGCCACTGTCACACAGGTCCTACTCACTGCATTCTAGTGACATTACTATTGTTTACGAAATCGAGAGGATGAAAAGAGAATGTTCGGTGCTTTAACCGGGTTGGTGGATATAAAGGATCCACATAGGGCAGTTGGAAAACCCTGATTCTAAACCAATGGTGTACATGGGCTCCAGCATCCTAAGGGAACAAATGATCGATGAACCTATTGTTGGTCACCCACTACCATGCGACTGAATCTCCTGACGTTGCTCCACTGCCTTGCAAATCAGACCTTTAGGTCAAAAGCTCGTGATATGGCCTCCTGAGAAAACCACCTGCCTCGGTTTGGGCACCCTGGCAGTATTCCAGCCCTTACATAAACCGAATGATTTATGTGGCGCATATGTATTTGGTGCTTACTTGTACCAATGTTCACGTGTTTAAATAAATTGTAAGATGACAACAACTACTATTCTCAGAAGGGAGAGCGACGATTTCTCCTTTGGATATGTCGATATCTGCCAGAAATAACAGGTTTGAAACTTTAATAAGTTTTTAACGTTACGGCATTTATCAAAAAGAATGGCAGCGAGTACTAATTCTTTGACTAGTTAACTTCAATGGTTGTACATAGAAAATAAGACAATATGTTGTACATATTTTCCCTGTAAAATGACCAGTCAGAACAACCTCAAATATATTCGAATAAATTGACCCTATATCCTCAATAAATTGCTAGATTAAAACGTTGTTGACTAAACTAGTTATAATGCCTGAATATACAAAACTTTAATAAATTGAATGAAAACACTGTAAGACATGATGGTAAGCTCATTAAAAGAGACAATAAATCTAGGACCAAAGAAAAACTAGTAGTGAATGTGGGAGTAAACTTTATGCCTTTAAAACGCAAAATGATTGATAGTGAACAAATGACAATTGTCAGAAATGCATAACAAAGTAACGAGTTCCTAATACTTCAATACGACAACGAAACCTAGCAATACTATCACATCTCGAGTATTGGGCAGCTTACTAACTCTATGGAAGGAATTAAACTAAAAAAGGATATTAATATACACCCCAATGAACTCGAAATGTGACTCCGAATATATATATATATACACAATAAACATGACAGTGTGAACACTAACTTGTAACAATACAGTTGACATAAGAATTCCAACACCAATTTTCACTCGATAACGACCCAAGACAAAAGCACTTCCAATAAACTGTAAGCAGATGTTCAATAAAATGAAAAAGGCTGCAAATATGACATGGGTTCCCCAAACAGATTGGATATAATCCACTTGGTCAGACCATTGAGTTAAAAGTCGAAAACCATCTTCAATAAATGTAGATACGAGACAGAATCTAGCTATATGAGGTAGATAACGTCGACTTTTTCGTACCAGCTGTAAAAATCACAGGACAAATACACAGAAGTAAACAAACCATGAAATGGATAATAAAACATTTAAGCACAGAAATAGCAAATGCTACAGTGTTATCAATCTTAAGAATCTTTTGTTTGCAGGTAAATATTACTGAATTATCATAGGGAAGTATGATGGTTTTAATGACGATGACGTTTAATGAATTAGCTAGTACTCCAGAAAAGTAGAAATATGATAAAATGGATTTTCTTTATAAATAAATGAAGACTATATGGTAATGGAAGGTTTGATAGAAGAGCACAGACGACTTAGTGTGGGATTGGCAATAGGTAATAGCGACCCATTAGTCTTACAAGTCAGTACGAAACCTCAACTCAAAATCAGACCTACGATCATACTACGTACAAAATTATATTAGGTCTAACTCTTGAGATTAATCCATATGCCACGAAGGAAATGGCTCAACTAAATAGTATCTTCGACCCGTTATGGTTTCTTAAACCCACTTCAGAAAGCAATTACTATATATATATATATATATATATATATCAGGCTATCAGACACCTGTTTTGTTACGGCTTACGTCCAAGCATATAGTTTCAGTTTGGGCTTATGATCTGACACATGTTAATGAGGTGAGAGGAAGCAGTTATAAAGATCAAACAAGAAACAAATGGTTCAAGATGGGACGAAAACGTACGTATGAAGAAATATAGGGCCCTAAGATTTAGATGGAAATGAATAGTGAGTTGGCCTATGAGACCGTAATCGATTTCGAACCATGTCGGTCAACGTGTAGTCAAAAGCGGTTATCGCACAGACCCTGACATGATAATCTGAACCTACCAATACGGCTCAGACCGACAGTCAATGACTTGATGGACTATAATTGCATGTACTTAGGACCGCCCTTAGCTCTGCAATTTACGCTTGCACCAGCAAGCACTGTATATAAAGGTAGGTTTGCTGGAATACGTAGAATCCCAGCAACCCCAATCGATGAAGACGCACATCAACTGACTTTCCATACTTACCTAGTACCCTATGGCTTACCTCAGAACCGTTCGCTAGGTTGTTCCATCAAAAGTAAGAAATGCTTCAAGAACATCATTGACTGAAAATTTGCAGATTACGTATTTTTTCTCTTTTCATAGACCATAGGGTAGTGAAAAATGGATAGCTACATAGTATACTTGTCTTTCAATGTGCAGACGGACATCTTTTCTATACCAGAGATGATGGAAGTCAGAAAAATTGACAGGACGTTTGGTGTCTGTGAAGAAGACTCGTTAGATACCATCCTACCTAGGACTTCCAAGATAAGTGGGTTCGAGAACACGCTCAGCTATTTTGTTTCCTAAGATCAATTTTAGTGATGGTGGAAACCAGTCACGAAGCCAATAGAGAGAAACTGGACTGTTACTCGTGTTCAGAAGACTTTAATGTCAGCAATTTTACCAAAAAAGGTCTACTTTCACTCTAGTGGCTAATATTGAAATGAAACTAAATGGAATGTCTACGAAGTGAGCTGGATTGCTAGATTGACAAAAAAATAATATTGCTTTTACAGATTGACGTAAAGCCTTGCAATTTGGCTTAGACTACACTGTCGTCTTATAAGTGATCAACTGCAGAAAAAATCAGCCCTTTGACTAAAAACCGAGTCAAATATGAAATTATTGAAAATATAGGATTTAGATTTGTAAATATAGCAGTGAGACGGCCGTACGGGTTTAAAAAATGGTCATGAGCAGCTTTACGATGAACTTTATTTTGAGGTCCACTACGAACATAATTTAGAAGCTTATTATAGCTGACTTCAACTTTATTTTCAATTATTTTACTTCTAAGTAGGAATATAGAAATGCTACTCAATAATTTGAAGACAACTCCTAACAACAGTAAAAACTCTGTGATGTGCTGGAAATAATTCGTATTTATATAGCCTGAGAATAAAATGAGGATTTAATGATGTGCCGTAGCAACCCTTATCTGTAAAAAAAATACGACAGTGTGGTAGCGAAGAAAGTCAAAAAGCATTACCCAATCTGCATGATCCTCCAGTCTATCCAGAAGTTCTCTGTTGGTAGAGCCACGCTGCATTATGTCTACCACTATTGAGTGATCAGGCGACAGCTATGCAACGTAGAACAGTTGTGTTGAAAGCTCTCCTTAACGTGATAGTATAAAATACCTTAGATAAACAAATGGACACATTTCATTGACAAATAAAACGACTTGATGTTACATTTTCAGTGAAAAGCAAATAATATAATTAAGTCAAGTTATCTTCTGGGATAGTGAACTTATCAGTGAGTGTTTTTTATAAAACATCTAAGTCGTTAAATTAGTGTATGCGAGGTTAAATGTGTAACAGTAAATAAATTTCCGGAATAAATACTTCTATAGGTCTCCTACTGTTATGGTGATTTCACCAGTTTTACTAGACAAAATAGCTCAAAGGCGAACGGTCAAGCATCTGCACCAAATCATTACAGGGTACGTCGTCAGTTTGGCTAGCATACACCTAAACTCGCCGACCATTTCTAAAATATATCATCTCGTTTTTCACCCTGGAATGTTGAGTAAACTTACTCAAGGGTTCTGGTTCGAAAGAAAGTTCTGAACTACAGCGTTTCAAAAACTGTATATTCGTGACATCTGTATAGATGTATTTAACCGTAACTGTTCTTACCATAAATGGTCCTGTTAGCTGATGTTCCATACTGTCAATAAATGCACAGACATATTGATAACTTCGCAAACATATTGATATCGATATCTCTGTGCCAATGGGCTCATTCCCACGCACTATTAAACGGACTGTCTCTTAATATTGCCTCTAGTTTTGATTTACTGCCGTTAGTTCTCCGTCTGGAAATATTCCATGCTCAATATCTGGTGAGTAACAGGATCATACTCAAGAAACTTTGGTAAAATGGGTTATCCTATGTCTATAAGAAGGATGCTTATATACCTAACTTTAAGATGTGTTTCAACTAAAATCCATTACAATACAGCCCTAGCTTGTTTGTCTTTCGCATAGTGTAAGAGTAATGCAGCTCGTATCCTGATCATACAAGTTTTTACGAACTAAACGAACTGCAGGCATAAGATTGCACCGAAACTCTTATGATCTGGTACTGTCTTCGTCTTACTACCTGCGTACACATTCACACCAAGTTAGCTATGGAGTAGTAGTGACATTGGTCCTAACCACACAATCCTCAATGCTGAATATGAGACAACTCGGAAAATGCATATTCAACAATCAATGCGTAAGTAAATCCAACAATGGTGAACGCGGGCATTTTCATTCAGTCGGATGGCGTGGCTCAGAGCTTCAGACATGGTCATTCTGTATAAATTATCTTTACTCACATTAAGTATATTATTCTTTCTTTAGCCCAAATGCGTTCTTAAAAAGCGCTAGACGCTATATCGCCGATAGCTACGAAATGACGAGTCAGTGTAGACAGTGATATTAAATCTGTAGTAGATCTCACAGATTAGGTAGTCACATCATGACAAATCTACCATTTAAGGATTAGGTCTATCATTACAGCAGTACTAATGATGAACCTACACCGTATTTCTAAAGGGTTTCACTCATGCCTCATTCCGTCCCCGAACAATCGCATGCCTATTTCTAGACCGGCATAGTTTGTTTATCTCAGATCGATAGAGTGATTATTAATGTGATTCCATATTTCGGAAGCATGACTCCGTATTACTAAGCCCTACTTCAACTCATGCTTCGCGTATGTTGGGAAGTATCTTCACTGTCGTCCCCACTAGTTGATATTGATATGTTGCCTTGTACGATGGAGTAAGTTTGCAGGAGAACCTTGTGGCAGAAATAGTCTCACAGTTGTTAGCAGCTTAAACAACAGGACAGCATAAAGTGAACAAGTTCGTTATAGTAATCATGTTTGCTGCCGTTATCGCGGAATGAAACTTACAGACTGATGAGGCAGTTTGTGAATCTGGAAACCAAGTTTAAATGGACTGTTCTGTAATGGCGAACCAAACGTTAACTATAAGACCTAAATATTTTATCATTGTTTATTTACTTTTCAGCAAGGACACTTTCGAATAGACATTTTTCTTTGAATGTTACAGTGTGTTCAAAGTAGCCGTCTCGCACTTGAGAATGGTGTGTAACAGGGACTGCCGCTTCCAGAGGACTAAATTCTGAGAACTATCTAAGACCTGAAATTCAAAATTCCAGTCGTTCCTAAACTACCTTCCAAAAGGTAGGTAATACGAAGCTTAGGAACTCATACAAGCCCAATAGTCCCATTGGTCTGGTTTCGTCCTGTACGTTTATTTATTCATTTGATGAAATTCAGTTTGGACAGTTCCCAGTGAAGACACATTTGCACCAATAAATACATTCAGGTTATAGGTGTAGTAGAACATGAATAATCAGGTCTCGCGTTACTAATTATGTAATAGGATAAAAGTAGTTTTAGACCGGTTCAACCATTATATTTCCATTGTATTTAATCAATAATGCATGTCTGTAGTCGTATTGGTCCTAATCACACAATCCTCAATGCTGAAGATGAGATAACTCGGAAAATGCATATTCAACAATTAATACCATGAGGATGTCAACAATGAGGGAGGCTAGAAGAATTAATTCAACTCAGCCTGATGGTGCAGCTCAGCATCGCAGACGTGGTCACTGCGTAACTTTTTTCACATTGAATATATTACTCTATCTTTAATATCATTCAAAAGTAATAGACTTCATATAAGATGAGTCAGAATAGACAGTAGCGTAACTTCAACGTAAGATCTTATAAATTGTGCAGCCACATCGAGCCAGCTTTACAATTTTAGGTTATAGGTCTATTATTATAATAGTACTAATAACAAAGTAAGCTGTAATTCGGCATATCTTTACGATGGCAAAAACAGTGAAAAAACAATGACTAAGGACAAAGTCGTTCAAAAGCCACTGCTACTGCCGAGCGGCTCGATAAATGTGGTTGGACATTGCTCAAACACGAAGAGATACGCCTACGTTTAGATACAGGATGAAATACTGAGGAGTTTATGCCGGTTTGTTCCAGGGATATGTTTTGGCCCTACAATACTCCCGCACCAGACTCAACGACTGTTTGAACAGATAATCTTGCGTCGAAGGTTGTCAAAAATGGCGAGGCTCCTCTGGGCGTTGATAAGTTGTAAGGCAAATGTGAAGAAGGCGGCAGAACCAAATCAGTAAATAGCTAGTAGTAATAAATCTGAGAATACTAAAATTGTCGATGTGCTTAAAAATATGACTTACAGATTGACTGGATGTCAAGCAATTAAAAATGACAATAATAAGAATACTATAACATTCTAATACTTTATCAAGCAATTTTGGAAAAAGTTTGGTTGAAAAGTGGTTGAGTTCCGCAGATAAGCAACATTCAGTTTGTCGCAAGAGTAATGATACTACAATCTCAGTACGATAAGCGTATTATCAATTGATGTCAATGTTTGTACTGTCGTTGACTTAAAGTATAAAGTCGATCTTTGTCTTTGATGGTTTACTGTTCACGATTGTCGAATTTTATTTATATCTATACTTAGCAGGCTAACTGGATGTACAGGTTTATAACCGTGAAAAAGTTCATGATTTCAACGTACGAAGGTAATGATCATTTTGTAGCCAGTGACTGTAAAATTAATGATTGCTGGTACAATCAATATGGGTCATGGACTACAGGTCGAGATCGATAGTGACACAATGAAGTTGTCGCTAAACGGTGAGTGCTGTACACATGTTCGACAACCGAACCGTGAAATATCGAAGAGAACATAAGGAACCAAGATTGTCCCTCTACGCCCATGTCAATGATATTGGTACGGAACGCTAACAGTTTGGGGATGGAGGTAACAATATCGCTTTCACTTTGCAGGACTCACTCAGCTGCACAAACTGGTGATTTGCGTGTAAGAACGCGTCTCCTGACCACCACTGAAACTGGACAGGTTGTAAATCTTGACACGATAAAACTCAAGGTCCTCTCAAATCCCTCCGCTGTTTCGTTTCAACAATATTTAACTGCCTGGTGTGCAACGAGTATTATGTGTATGAATTGCTATGAGTTGGCTGGGTGCTCGTATGATTCAGTGGTTTTCAGGCGTTCTCGTAATTATGTAGTCTACTAATGCGACAAAATCAAAACATCTTTCGATAGAACATTCAGTGACTTTTTTTCGCTTTGAAGACCACACTTTGGCCTGATTGTTGCTTCATAACTTCACTTTGTAAACCAAGTACTCGCCAAAACCCCACTGCTTTTGCCGAAATCTTCGTCTGGTCCATAGAATAACGTAACATCAAATAGAATGCCATAGAATTGATAGGAAGAACTACTGATGAGAAGTTAATGGCTATTGGTGATCTGTGATGACGAGTAGTTCCGTGTTGGCCAACCTATTCGTTTTGCAATGAAGAAATTTCCGTGGAACTAAAAATATGAGTCATTCCTATATGAAACACGAAAACGGTGATTGGGTGTTTATCGCTCGCTGTGAAAGACGTTTGGAAGTAGATACAAGCACTTATGCATGCAACTGTAGAATGTTTGTGACGTGTAATTATCACTGACATCACATTCTTCTGACATACATAGGAAGACAAGCTCAAATAGGTAAGGTAAATCAACTCTGAAGTATTAACCACATAGTAAGTCATATTCTTTGGTAATGAACTCGACAGAAGACAAATGACACAAAAAACCTTCCATTATAACACTAAAATTTTGCTTCAAAAATGACGCGAACAGTATTTAAAAATCGTAAAGCGCCGATTATAAATAAGCACAGTGGTAGGTTTGCGGTGAAATACAGAAGAGATTTAGAAAATTATTGTTTACATATCACTAATAACTATGTGAGACTCCAGCTTTTCGGAAGCTTACTCTGCTTTGTTTTTTGCTTTATGATGTAGATCAGGGCTTGGAATATAACATAACAGGAGAATCGTTTATTGGTTAAAGTCTTTTGTGGTTGTGTTATAGAGTTAACTATGTATAAAACCTGTAAAAGTATTTTTCAACATCAATTGTTAATCTTGCCTCACCAGTTGCAATAATGCACCAAGAATGTAATTCCTTCATTTATCGTAGTTTTAAAGGGAGGTATAACGATAATGTCCACAAGTAACTAATTGAGACATTTGGAACA